TACCAAAAGCAATACATAGGGTAATTCCAACCCCAATCAAAATCTCCATGACACACTTCACAGAATTAGAAAAAAAATCCTTAAATTTGTATGGAATCACAAAAGATCCCAGATAGCCAAAGCAACCCTGTGCACAAAGAACAATGCTGGGGGGATTACTATACTAGATTTCAAAGTATACTGCAGAACTATAGTCATAAATACAGCATGGAATTGGCACAGGAATAAACACATAAATTAATGGAACATCACTGAAGACTCAAACCTGAGTACATGCAATCCTCACCTGATATTTGACAAAGGTTCCATGAATACACAATGGAGGAAAGACTGCATCTTCAAAAAATAGTGTTGGCAAAACTGGATCTCCATTTGTAAAAGAATGGAACTAGACCTTTATCTTTCACCTTGCACTTAAGTAAACTTGAAATGGATTAAAGACCTCAATGTGAAACTTGACACTCAGAAACTATTAGAAGAAAACTTTGGCAGTAACCTACAAGATATAGGTGTAGGAAAGAACTTTCTAAATGAGACAACGGTTGCTCAGGAATTAAGGTCAGCAATCAACAAGTGGGACCTCATTAATATAAAAAGCTTCTGTACAGCAAAAGAAACAATCAAGAAAGTGAAGTGAAAACCAACAGAGTCAGAAAAAATATTCACCAGTGGCACATCTGACAGAGGTTTAACCTCCAGAACATATAAAGAACTCAAGAAACAAAGAACCAAGAAAACAAATGACCCAATTAAAAGATGGGCTAAAGATCTAAACAGAGTTCTCAAAAGAAGAAGTAAAGATGGCTAAGAAACATCTTTAAAAGTCTAAAGGAATATTAACAACTGATTGCTGTTAGATGATGAACAGCTGAGCTTCCTAAAACAAGGATCTCTAGATAGGTTGACTAGATTCAGCAGATGGTCAAGCTCTGGGGAATGGCTGGGGGTGCCAACAACACATAGACAGTAACAGGGATGATGGAGTATATGGGCTCCGGGGGGGGGAGGTGCTATAGGAGGGTGACATTTGGGAAGTGGGTATATAGATGAATAAGATTGTGTGGGATGTTCTGTATGATATACACACAGAAAAATCAACAAATTTAAAAAAGACTCTATTCAGCAGTAAAGAAAAATGAAATAATGAAATTTGAAGGTAAGTGGATAGATCTAGAAACTATTATATAGTAACACAGACTTAGAAAAACAGATGTAGGTTCTTCCTCATTTGTGTATCCTAGCACCAAAGACCTTATAATAGATAAAACCCCAGTGAAATGAGACAACAGCCCAAGGAAAACTGATGAAGACATGTGAAATTTCAGTGCCTTGGAACAACAGGAGGAAGATCATCACACACCTATCACCCCCACCAGGGCTCAGGGACCTTTGCTGAAGAGACTGGCAGAAAGAATGTAACAGCTGGAGGAAAATGTGGAATGTTAACTGAAAGTGTCCTCCAAGCACCATGCTGGCAAGCTATAGTCACACCTCCATCCCTCACTCATCAAGGACTAGAGGGGAAATCAGTTAACTCTCCCACCTAATCAGTTAATCTTAGCTGCATGTGTGGGAGAGGCTAAGGATATATAAGGCAAGAAGGCCATGAGGCACCTCTCTTACCATTTTGTGCTGCTCTTGGGAAATCACAGGATCTATATTTGAGCATGGATTTTCCAGCACAGTTGTAAATGGGGTGGGGGGGGAGTGCATTCCCACCCTATTCTGTTAGCAAGCCCAGTAAACTCATATATATAATTAAAAAAAGCATACCTAGCTATGTGCTTATGTTTGTGAGTGTTGTACGTGTTATTTCTTCCTAGAGGCTGAAAATTCTATGCAATAAACCATGTCAGGGACTCAACAGGCTGTGTGCTCAGTCATTGAAAAAAAGGAAGTTGCTGCTTTGTCTCTTCCTCTGCCTAATGGTCCCTTCTGAGCAGACTCTGGGATTAGCTGACTTTGTGGTTTACCACTCTCAAATATAAAACATACTCCACATTTCCAGTGTTCAGTATTTAATCAGGCACCAGACTCGTGTCACAAGACCATGATTAAGATGCTAGAATGTACAGCCCAAATGGCCATTGCATTTCCCATATGCACCATCCCTCCTTGTCCACCCTTGTGTGTTCCCTCACATGGATGACATTCCTTTCTTCCTCTTTCACTAGAACTTTTTACTTAATAGGTCTTTCTTTAGGTCACTTTTCAGTTTTAACACCTTCAGCAGTCATTTTGACTTTAAATCTCTGCTTCACCTTCCTTCGCTGCTCAGGCTGAGATGATCTTACAGTCAGTTCTAGAAAGGAGAGCCTAGCAAAACTGCAACCCAAGTGATTTATATCTTGAGAATCCAAAACTCCCTGCCTGACTTTGGATACATTGTGCCACTGTCTCTTTGTATCACATGAGATCTCATACAAGAATTCCTAGTTATATAAAAAGGGGTAGATTGTTATCATGAATATTAATCTTCAAGGACACTCATGATACTAAATTGCATAAAGGCACGAAAATATCACTATGAGAGTAGAAAAAATACAGAACTGTGGGTACAGCACAGTAGGTAAAAATGCTTGGATGTACTCTTGACAATCTGAGTTCATTAGGATTACCAGAACACACATATGTGGTAACGACCTTTACAATATGGAAATACTCTAGACAAATGAATTTACTTAGCTACCAGAGATTCAATCTTATTTCAGCCTGTTTGTAAAGTGAATAATCCTTCTAGGTCTGGAATTCCTCTTGCAACTTAAATATAACTCAAATTTCCCATGACCCTTCCTTGCCTTGGACCCAGAGTAGTTGTGTGTGTGTGTGTGTGTGTGTGTGTGTGGTGTGTGTGTGTGTGTTGTTCTAGGAATGGTGAGCAGATAGGGCAAAATTATCTGAAAAATTAATGGTCTGATTTTTCTTCCCCATTTCACTCTAGATATATTGTTTCAATAAAACACAGCTCCAAGAGAATCCTGAAGGAACAGGATCTTTGCCATTCAGGTCTGCTCTTGGTCTTAAAGTGGTTGCTAAGAGTCAGGCTGTTTTTACAGGAATGACTGTAATGCCACAGTGCATAGTAACCTCTAAACACATGGAAATCAGAGGCATTGGTGAAGATTCTGTAATCTCAGTATCCTTCTTCAAGTGGGTGTTGAATTCAGGAGAATATCCAGAAGCTTGTGGGCCAACTTGTTTGCTTATGCAGTGATGGATTCAAGTCTACAGAAAAGAATACAGAAAAAAAGGTAGAAAATCAATGATATGCACACTCATTTTTATTCACCTCTCTCTTTCTGTTTCTCTCTCTTTTCCCTCTGTCTCTCTCTCTCTCTCTCTCTCTCTCTCTCACACACACACACACACACACACACACACACACACACACACACACTCCTCCTCTC